TTTATTGGCTCATTATATCAGTATTAAATATTTCAGTATATCTAAAGCTACTTTTAAAACCATCAGAATGTACTCTGGTGATTTTATTTTAGTCTGCACTTGTGTGAATGTGTTTTCACAATGCATAATCAATTACGATTATTTTACTCGTTTTGCACTATTGTGAATGTGTTTACATAGTATATGATCGGATTATAGCCTTTACACAGTTCTGCGTGCGTATGACTAGAATTACAAAATTTTAGAATCTCAGAATTTCAAAATTTCAAAATTTAATGGCTTTACCATGTATATCGATATTAATCGTTACATGAGTAAGGTTATTTTGGGGTTCATTTTGGTGCTTTTTAATATTACTACAGTTTATCAGATTACAGATTATAGAATTCAGTTATTCACTTTACAAAATAAAGATTCAAGCTTATAGTATTGAGTAACGAAAGTATTTTATGCATTTTCATGAATATCAAATAATTTATATTCGTTATACTTTATAGTTGTTTATTTAGAATAAAGACGAAATGATTTTATGATATTATCATGTTTTAGTTTTAAAGGTTATTACCAAATTTTAGAATTTCTAAAAGTTGTAATAGAGTAAGTGAAGCTTTACAATAATTATGTGCAAACAAGAAATGTATACTTAGTTACAAATTATTTACTCACTGAGTTGTAAGCTCATATATTTTTTTCATCTTTTTCTTGTCAGATAGTAACTGAATTGAATCGCATTTGGAGCTTGTTGATCTACCGAGTTGAGCTACACATTGTTATTAGTTGAATGATTCATATTTTCAGTTTATATAATTCATATCTTTTGGGATACATGCATCTTTTGTTATATCCATATCACGAGTCGCTGCATATTTAGTATCTTTAGTACATTTGTGTACTTTTGTTTGTATATAATCTTAAAGGTCAATTTGCCAGTATTGTGTTTTAAGGGGGGCTTGTGTACCCTATTTTAAATTATATGTAGAGGTATTGAGAATATTAATTATTTTTCAGGTGGTTTTAGTCCATATTTTTTAGAGAAAACTCTATCAAAATTTCTAAAATAAATTATCGCAGTCAAAGCAGGTCAAGGTTGCCTTGATGGTGGGCCCAGTACTTAGCTGGTATCTACAATCGATGCAAAGCACGTGTCAGGTCCATTAGGGTGACTTGGGACGGGTTGTGATAGTCTATGCTAAGGTACCAAAAAAATCCCTCGCTACTATACAAGTGGTTTATGAGCAAAGCAAGAGATACCAAATTTTAATGAAACTACGAGCAGAATTTGAGGGCACTCACACCAATTTGATGAATCGTGGCCCTTTGCCCTCGTTGGATATATGATTTGGAGAGTTCTTCATAAAGAACATCTTGCTACACATGCTACTTTTCAGCAAGAAAACTTGATACTTGATATTGATTGCAGTTGCTTATATGGCTCATGGAAAAGGAAGGGGATGAGACATGCGGAAAGTTAAGTGTTTCAACTGCAAAGATAGGGACATATCGCTGCTCATTGTGTGAAAAAAACCTTGCAATTACTGCAAGAAACCATGAGATATTATTCAGGACTGTCCTACTCGACCTCGGGTTTGCCATCCTAATGCTTATTAAGCTATAGATGATTCCACGTCTTCCTCTACCACTAGTAATTCTTCTGCACTTACTCCGGATATGGTCTAGCAGATGATTATTTCAGCCCTCTCAGCCTTAGGGCTTCAAGGTAATAGTTTATCTTAGCTTGTTGATTCCGGTCTATCAATCATATGACTAGTCTCACTCATCCTATATTCAAGTTGCTAATGGGAATAAGTTACCTATTCAAGTAGTTAGTGATATTAATTCTTCATTTAAGAATGTTTTTCGCTCACTTGAACTTTCTCCTAGTCTCATTTCAATCAGTCAATTAGTTGATAATAATTGTGATGTTTGATTTTCTCGTGATGGTTGTCTTGTGCGGGATCGGGTGTCGGGAAGATACAGTTGTTTCCTCTACATTTTTCCATTCCTAGTTTTATATCTTCGTTTTACACTACTATTAATAATAAAAGTAAAATATGGCACAAAATATTTAGGTCATACTAACTATGTTGTTTTATCTTATTTATTAAACTCTGATTTGTTGGGAAATAAAGATAAATTTTTTGATGTTTCTTTTGATTGCTTCACTTGTAAATTGGTTTTACTCTTTCCTTTCCATCTCATGGTAGTTGTCGTGAGCACTGCTTTGAGTTAATTTACAGTCATGTATATGGTATCTCTCCTATTATCTCTAATGCTCATTATAAATACTTTGTCACATTTATTAATGATTATAATAAGTACACCTAGGATTATTTTATTCGATCTAAATCTGAGGTATTTTCTATCTTTCAACAATTTGTCACTTATGTTGAGACTCAATTTTCATATAGCATTAAGGTTTTACGATCTGATTCGGGTAAGGAGTATATGTCCCGTGAATTTCATGTGTTTCTCCAAACTAAATGCATTATTTCTCAGCGCTTTTGCCCTTAGATTTCTCAGTGCTTTTGCCCTTAAATACCCCCAACAAAATGGTGTTGCTGAACGTAAGAATCACCATCTCTTAAATGTGATTTGCACGTTATTGCTTGAATCTTCAGTTCCCTATCTATAGCAGTTTAGTTAGTTAATAGATTGCCTTCTCATGTCTTAAACTTTGACACTACCTACTTTCGTGTATATAATCAGCGTCCTTCCTATCATGATATACATACCTTTGGTTGCGTCTGTTTTGTTCACTTGCCACTGCATGAGCCTAATAATCTTTCTACTCAATCTATTAAATATGTTTTTATGGGATATAGTGTTTCACGTCAAGGATATGTTTGCTATAACCCATACTCTGACCGATTTCGTATTTTTTGTCATGTGATTTTCTTTGAGCATCAGCCATTCTTTTCTACTCATATTGCATCTTTGCTTGATATTACTATCCTTCTTATTTTTTATAACGTACTTTTCTACTTCTGAGTGCTTCAAACTTGGATTTGTGTATGAACGACGAAGACCTTTATCGCTTCCTGGGCTTGATCGTCATCTAAGCTTGTTCATCACGTTCCTCCACCTAATGATCTAGATCCTGATACTGTTCTTCGTCGATCCACTAGAGTCTCTCGACCTCCTAATCGGTATGGTTTTTCCCATATATCTCTTAATGCCACTTTATCATCTGTTCCAATTCCCTTTTGCTATTCCGAGACAGTTCGATATGAATGTTGGTGTGAGGAGATGGCAGAAGAACGTCGGGCTCTTCAGAAAAATCACACATGAGATATTGTTCCTTCTCTACTAAATGTTAAAACCTATTGGTTATAAGTGGGTTTACTCGACCAGTCTTCCTTTTGATGGTACTTTGGATCGCTATTGCTCTTCACTACAACAAAATCGTGATTTTGCAACCAGATTTTTTGCGACATACAAAAAGTAGTCGCAATAAATGATTTAACAAGACACATTTTTAAAGTTTGTCGTGAATATTGTCATAAAAAAATAAGTACCAAAAAAAAAAATAACGCGACATAAAAAGTTGTCGTGAAATGTAAGAAGTCGTGAGAAATGCTAAAGAATGTCACCAAAAATATGAGGGAAGCAAGGCGCCAAAATATCTTTGGTGGGAAACTTATGGGGACAAACTTTTATTTCTTGAAAGATATATTTGTTGCCAAAAATTCTATAGCTTGAAGTAAAAATCGCTACAAGAAAATTTATTTTTGTAATGAACAAAAAAATGTTGCATTAGGATTTTTCCAATGTTTACCTACATATTGTAGGCTCTAATATTATCGTAGAGTAGAAGGATACGACAACGTGTAATGATGCTGTAAAAGCCGCCAAATGTATGTTGTTGTTAAGTTTTTGAGACATACCTCGTCCATTGCTTTTATCATATTTCACAACACCCTTTGCTTGTTGTCTTAACTTCTTTTAGCAATGTTTTTTTTATTTTTTTGTAACAAGTGTTTGCTTTTTTTTGCGCCTGGCTAGATTTTAAAATTTAATATAATTTTTGTTGGAACTTAATTATTTTTTACCAAGAGGAAATTTTTATAATATAAAAAGCTTTATAAAATTTCTAGAAAAAATAATTATCTCCAAAAAAACCATTAGACGATTAAACTTTTAATCACATAATAACTTACAAAAAAAACTAGTTGTGAGAATCAATTCATAAAGGAAAATAGATATCTCAACACTTAAATAAATAAACAAATCATAATTCATATATTATAAGCAAGCAGATGCGAATTCCGTATTTCAAAATGAAAGCAAGAAATGTTTGACGTTAATTTCATGTAGTACATCATGGTTCTTCCCACTCCTTGTCTCTTCGGAGATTTTCGGAAGGTAAAACGGGATAAAAAATCTCGTTTATTGCTTGTTTAATTAATTAATTAATTTTAATTTTAGTGTATGTTGTTGAAACTCCTAATAGATAGCCTTTTGCAACGTTCAGTCACTGTTCCGAAAAGTTGAGTATTGCGAAAGGTTTCATTTATTGCAGTGTTTATTAAAACATTGTTGAATTCTGATTATATACAACGTTCAGGGCCAATTGTTAAAACTCTTAATAATAATTTTTTTGCAATGTTCATTGATTAATATGAAAAATATCAGTCAATAAATTTCATTTCTACTTCATTATTTTTTTCTCTAGATCCGATTCGACCCTAAATAAAAACTCTTTTCCTTTTTCCAAAATATTTCATTTTTCACTTAGCGTGTGTTCGAGCTATGTTATTTTAAAGAATGTATTTTGGAACAGTAGATTGATGTAGAAAGTGTGGTTAAAAATAAAGAAAATTTTTGAATTTACATGTAATATTATTTTTTTGAAAAATGTGTGGTTGAAATGATGTCAAATCACTGATTAAAAATATATATTTTTCAAATAATGCAGATCAAACAGGGCGTTAATTTTTATTTTTTTAATGGGAGCCAATCCGATCCAATCCAAAATTAAAACCCTTCCCTTCTTCCTTGCGTGGCATCTCTTATGACTTCCTTTGTAATCGTTCTTCCATATCGTTCCCTTTCCTTCTGCAATAAAGCCACAACTACAACTCACTCTCTTTTCCAAAATCAAAGAAATGGCCATCGTCGCCACTATATCTGTACTACGATCATCCTCCGTTCGTAACGTCACCACAAGCTCGGCTTCCAAGCCAAGCCTGATCGATTTTCCTTCGATTTTTTGAAATCAAAGCAAATATGAATCTATTTTTCGAAATCCGGTCCTCCGCCCTCCCGCTTCTCCACTCATATTCCACGACGAACAATGGCAACACCGCAGCCACTAATCCAGTGATAGAATGTCAAAATCTGAGCTTCTCAGTCACCCGATGGTATGGAAAAGTTGTTCCCATCCTCAACGATTGCTCGCTCAGCATCCCCTCTGGATAGTTCTGGATGCTTCTTGTTCCCAATGGCTGTGGAAAATTCACCCGCCTCAAAAGTGTATATGTGCATACTATATTCTTCTAGTTTAAATTCTATCTTTTAATTCCAAAATTTTAACATTATTTCCAATTTAAACATATACATAAAACTTTTGTGTGTTGGAGGATTGTTTTGCGGGGTGCATTGATTGCTTGTACCTTTCTTCAACTGAGACAGTGCCTTCTTTCTTTTTAAAGCATCAATTTCCAATTTAAAGCATAAATACAAAGCTCATTTTCTCTATTCAAGTAAGGAATCGAAAGCAGATGCCTTCGGGTTATATAACATCACATAATTTGTTACTACTTACTTTTATTTAAATTTTCAATTATACATTGCTCTGGGTGTTTCTTATCATAACCAAGTTGGCTTTCATTTATTATATTGAGGTGCTTTCAGTATCATGCCATGTGGTCAAGGAAGAACAAATTAAGTTTACTGGAAATCTGGAATGTGCTTATGTAGTGGATAATCTGATCTGTTTCGTCAATCTCAATGTATAATGACATGGAGCAGCTGATGTTTAACTAACAAAGATTCGAGTTGCAACAAAAGATATAATGTTTGTTCTTATATCAACATACCAATGGCATGAGTTTTTCCCCCGAGGTAGTAAATATTACTATTTGGAGCTGTACTAGTCCAACATTACACACAAATTATTGGCATTGATATTAGTTTTCATCTCATCATGTGATTTACAGCTAAAAGCAATATTGGTGTTGTATTGCACTTTGGGCGCCAATTATTTTTGTATGGATTACACAATATTTACAATAAAATTTCTTGTCTTTTGTTTTAGAGGAAGCTTTCATGGTACCTTTTTTGGCTAGGTCTTGACTCACCTGCTTTAAATCTACCGTGCCTTTTTAGGTCTATTTCATGGATGCCCAGATCTGGTATGCTATATTCTCAACTTTAGTTGGAGGTATATATGGCGCATTTCGTCGACTGGGAGAGGTTAGTGGTTCTTTTTTATTTTTAATCTCGATGATATTAACTATATACAGTTTCCGCTTCATTTAATATATAACTTGATTGAATTATTCACTTGTGATTGTGAATCTTCTAATTCTTCACCATGATTCTGAAATCAGTTTATGTGGATTCCTCTGTTTTTGCTTATTTCTCTCACATTGCCATACGTGAATGTTCAGGGAAACAGATGTGTTCCTTGTTCCGTATTTGGCTGGTTGTGACTTGGAGTTAATTCAGTGGCCTCCGTTTTTTGCTTGCTAGCAAGGTTTTCATTATACTTTTTAAGTCACAACTCTCCCTTTTGTTAAGGGAGATTTTTGTTAATTCCATTTAATCCCTGTGTTAACCATCAAATCAAAGCAAATTCACCTCTTCTTTGCCTACTTTTGGCCTCAATAAATGTTTGAGGACATGGTTTATGGCTTTGAATTGGTGGTAAACAGCGGGATTAAAGCAAGTTGATAAAAAATGCTGGAATATAACTGAATCACTAGCGAGTTGGTTATCTTGAACTATGAATTAAATCTCTTTCTATCTTGCTTCCTTATTTTTTCCCCTTTTTGCATCACTCCTTGTGGGGTATGCTGTGGAGTTCGGGGTGATGAGGTACACTTATTTTTTATGGTCGTGTTTTATTTAACTTGACAAGCTTGCGTGGCTCATAATTGTAATGATGAGTGATGACTTGTTACTATATGCGGAACTTAGAAACTGTTCATCATTTTAATTGTTTTAGACCCTTCCCACAGGTCAATGTAAATTTTAGCCTGGTTCGGAGAAAGAATAAGGGGAATTATTCTGAGCTTCATCAATGGCCACATGTATAAAGTTCAGGATTATGTTTTTATTTGATATTACTACGATAGATTGATCCCTTCAAAGCTTCAGGTTAGAAATTTATCAAGCATTTATGAGATTTTTGGGGACGATAATTTATTTGATAATTTACTATTGATTTTTCCCCTTTTTGGCCATTAGTTAGTTTAGTTTAGTTTGTATTTGTTTTGGTTTTGGAGATAACCAAGTTTGTAAATAATACCTTGGTCTATATCTATCAGGTTGACTGTCATATGATTTATTTTATTTTATTTTATTTTTTTGATATCATTTATATTTTAATTTAGGGAACAACTATATACCGTTGCACAAATGATGACGCAATAAACTCTTTGTGTTGCGAAATAAATTTAATTACAATCATCACTGGTTACATAATAAATTATAGTACAAATATTGAGTATCTTAAAATATATTATACGATATATCAAACACATTGTAAAATATATTTTGCAACAAACATTACTTGTTATTAAAGATATATTATTACGAGCATGTGTTGTTGCACAATAGCATAGGTATCAAAAGTTACACAATTAAAAGAATATTCATAACAAATAATTTTCTCGTCAAAACATTATTGGAATAATTGTTGCAACAAACTGATTTGTCATTCTTTTAATTTTTCGCAACATTATGGCTATCAATATCGTGTTGTTATTTCATATTTTCTATGTCAAACAAATAGTATTACGATTTTGTTAATGCAATGAATTATCGAAAGTTGTCGTAGAATACATTTTGTGATTTAACCTTCACGACAAACATTTTTCTCGTAAAAAAATTGTTGGAACAAACGTTGTGAATTTAATTTTTTGCGGCATATATGTATTGCGACGACATTGTGGCTACAAATATTGCATTGCTATTTCATATTTTCTGCATCAAAGAAATAGAGTTACGATTTTATTAATGCGATGAATGGTTGAAGATCGTAGCAGAAAACATTCCATGACTCATATAGTGCGACAAAGCCTGCAACAAACATGTTGTTATCGCAAAATTATTTTTGCAACAAAATGTCTATTTATGCGACAACATTTTTTCATCATAAAATTGATATGTTTTTGTAGTGAAATTAATTGCATTAACACTATATTTACAGCTTAATTTTAATATAATTATTTTTGTCTTGAATAATTTTGCAGTAGGATGTACCATGGATGACTTGGATGATTGATGTGCCTAATAAATTGAATTTTAATAAGCAAGTGATTTTACAAAATTTGAAAGTCGATTATAAATAATATTTATTATATTTTAATTAGACAAATTCTGGACTTTCATTTAACTTTGTAACAAGGAAGTTTTATACAATTTGCTTGACTAACAATAAAACATAATTTGAGCATTTGACATACAATTCGAATCAAATGGTGAAATCTAATAATCTAAATTGCATAATTATTATCCCTAATATTACTAATCCAAAAATAGAACTTAGGATCTTATTTATATACTTTCTTTAGAAAAATGAAAATCATTCTTTATTCCTTCCTAAACTAAGCACGTTCAAATCCCATCGAACTCTTGTTCGGCTACTGCACCTTATTGGATTCGGAGCTTTGCAATTTAAGGTATTGTGAATAATATTTTATATTTATATTAATTTATGGTTGACTTCACATTTATGTATATTGGACTAGAGACATTTTGGTTCTAATCTTTTTAAATAATAATCCATTATAAATTGTTATACACCCATCCATATGTAATTGCATATATATAATCAATTTATATAAATTTCATTAGCGTCTACCGAATTTGAAAATAATGATTCAATTCTTGGTTTTGTTATTTGGATCTTTTGTTTATCAATTGTATCATTCCACTAATTGAAGTTTGGTAATTTATTTCCATAAATATAAAGTTAAAATGGAGGGGAGTCTTATATTTATTTGTACCATTTTTTTAGTTTGTTTATTGAACTTAGTTTGTAATATGGCTTTTGAAATCAAGAATTTAGTACTCTCTTAAAATGTAAGTAACATTTAATATGATATTTTCTATGGGTTTATTCCATTAAATTCTTAATATTTGTTACTTCATTTGAACTTTTGAATTCATCTTGTAATGGCGTTTCCTTGTTATTGGGCAGATTTTCCTTTTATTGTTCTAATATGAAAGTTTTGTTTTCTTCAGAAAAATGATTTTTGAAATAATAGATTTTGAACTATTATTTTAGTGGCCATTAAATCAATTAGTACCTATATATCAAAGTGATGATGTCTTTTAAACTGTGAATTCAACATATAAAGTTGGCATAAACTTAACACTTTTATTTACACATGGGATTTACAACAACAACAACAACAATAAATTAATTAATTTAATATGAGTTCACCTATAAATATGAATTTTGTTAAAGTTTCTAAATAAATAGCAATGAAACTAGGATTTTGGCACATTGACCTAGTAGGCGGCTAGGGGCATCTCCACTCGCAATTCTGAAACTTTACTTTTATGGATTTCAAGTAAGTAAACCTCCCATTGTCTTCATGCGTACGTTATATCGTTAAATATATAAACGTGTAATTTAAATCTGTTATTATGTGAATTTGATATTTAATTATTACATTTTATATCATTAATACTTTTTATGACATATTCATGCTCATCAATGCATCAATAAGCATACATGAAATTTCAAGAAAAATAAAAGCTTCCAAATGTCAACAAGTCAATGAATGTTTTAAAAAGATAGGTATCCCAAATTTTTTTTTATTACAAGGTGTATGTCTATGTCATGAAAGATGTGAGTGGGAAATGGGGCGTGGACACCGGCGCATCCGACCAATGTCCAATGTTTAATGTTCAGTGATAATATTAATGTTAACCGCTTTGTGGTGCTACCAATAGAATTCGACCGGGTTTCAAATAATAATTGCCCACTGCATTTTGATTGGTTAGGCGATACACCAAGTGAGCTCACGACATCAAATTTAATTTTTTTTTTCAAGGAATGAAATAAAGGGGATACATAATGAGAAATATCTTTATCTGAAAGTAATTCATGTGTACATCAGGTTTGCTTACATGAGGTTTGCTTACTAAGCGTTAGCTCATCCTATATTATTCCTCCCCATTTTTAGATGACAATGACAAGATGATTCGAGACGACTACTTGTGGTGAGACGGACTCAGTATTAATATATTTAATGTTGACTCAAGTTGAAATAAATTCAACATTTAATTTGATCATCCTATATTTTTATTAAATATAAAAGTTTTTTGAAATTCTTTCTTTAAGTGAAAGTCGTTAATATTTATTATGTTAAAAAAAAAATATTAGTTTTCCGCATTTATGGTGTTAAGAGGAAATTTAATGATAATACTTCTAAATCTAAGTATCTAGATTTGGGGTGTTACAAAGCTGGCACATCATCAAAAGATGTAACACCCATATGAGCAGTATGCTCATGAATGACCTTAGGTGATAGCCAATTAGTAAGTGGATCCACAATTATAGAGTTTGTCCTAATTATTTCATAGAAACCTAAATACTCTGAATTCTTTCCTTGACAATTAGGAACTTAATGTATATAAACTTTAACATCGTCTAGTTCATGGGAATACAAGACTACTATTGTCATTGAATAACTAAAGTGGTCCTTCAAATTCATCCAAAATGTGCAGCCCAGTGACAAAACTCCGCAATCATACTACATGATCAGAATATTCAATGATCTCCAATTGGTTAGATTTTCCTAAAGGTAGTCATGTGATCCTTAGTTCTTTGTAAATACCAAATATCCTAATTAGCTGCTTTTCAAATATCCATCCCCAGAGTCATTTAAATATCTATATAGCATTCAAATAAAGAATGTCATATCCAAACATATGCAAACATTAGCATACACGGATCTTCCAACTGTTGAAGCACAGGGAATTTTTCGTATTTCTTATTTTTTTAAATTTATCCTTGCGCGTTAATTGATACTAAACTTGTCTCCTTTAGTAATAGGAGTATTGCCTAGTTTACATACCTCCATCCTAAATTTTTTAAAAACTTTATTAATATTGCTCTTTTGTGATAGTCCAAAAATACCCAAGAACCATCATGGCATATTTGTATCCTTGACACAAAAGAGGTATCACCAAAATCTTTAATTTCAAAATTCCATGACAGAAATCTCTTGATTTCATCCAATAATTCTATATCATTGTAGGCAATTAGTATATCATTGACATCCTATACTAGATAATATGCTTATTCCCATTGAACTTGTGATATATACAATCATCGACTGTATTTATCTCCCAACCAAATGAAATAATTATTTGATAAAATTTGTAACACCATTGAGGGAAAATCTGTTTAAGCTCGTGGATGGATTTCTTTAATTTGTTAACCATCAGATGTAGCTCAAGATCAAAATGTGTCACAAGTGCCTTAATAGTCCTAAAAGATTCTCTGGGAGAAATTGGACAAAAAGTCTCTTTAAAATCAATGTCTTCCTTTTGAGTAAAGTTATTTGCAATTGCCTTTCTCTTTTCTTAAGTTGATTTTCTTAATGGCATTTGCTCTTGAGGTTATTGAGTATGTTCTTCTAAAACAATCTTTTGATTGTGTATGGGAGATTTTATAATATTGTCTTGATCCGAAATTGTTTTTTAGACAAGATTTGAAGTACAAATTTATCCTTGGCCCTAATCATTGTCAATTGCAACAAAAGAGATATATAAATATTTTTCTTCAAAGACAAGATCCTTAACTTTAAAACATTATCACCTCTCCCACAAACTATGCATCCTCAAGGAATCAGACATTTCTTGTTTCGAAAATTGACCTAATAATGAGATATTTAAAATTTGTAACCCCTTAACAATTTCTTTACTTGGAACTTTATTGAAAATTTAAGCTGCAATCTTTATTGCTTCAACCTAGAAAGATTCTAGTATAGTGTGGGATGATTTTACCTTCTTTTGGGAATTTCAACAAAAGGCACTAGATATTGTTCTCTTGATCCATCATATCTACCATAATATTCACAAACATGACACATATGATAAGTCTTATTCTTTTGCTGAGTTGATTTTCATCCTCAGCCTTGTAAGACTTGAACATCTCCAATGATTAGGATTTCTCATGAATGAGATACAAGTAGCCATAGTGAGAAAAATTC